GATCCGTCAAATTGATTTTAAAGAATCTCACGAAGCTTCAGAATGCATCTTGCAAAAACTAACGAGAATGAAGAACCCTCCCTGGGCGATGCAGATAGTACTAAATTATCGGGGGCGTGCACTGCGTCTTCGTGGCCTGCAATAACACAAAGGCCATAACGGGCCGCAGTTCCACACCTCGGAGTGTTTTCGCACGTGACGCCTCTTGCAAAGAGCGGAATGAGAGATCAGCCGATGGCTTTTCAGCAAGCGCTGAAGACATGACCGAGCTCATGGTGCCTGCCTCGACGCCAAATAGGCCACGGGTCTGGTAGTTTCGGGTCACGTTCGCACGAGTGAAGCAGGCCACCACCTACTGCGCGTGAGAAGCGGGCCGACTGCAGCTGGGACGATGCACTGAGGCAGCCTGCAGCAAGGCGTGACGCGGCCACCTAACGGTGGCCTCGGGCTTGTCCTGCACTCGCGGCGTCCGAACCGTTAACGGAAGCGGTGTGCTAGTGGGACCAACGCTGCAAACGCGAGAGGTGGAGTCGCAGAACCGCTCGGCCGTGGTGTGTCCCATCCGAACCCGCGGTCGGCCGTGGTGAAACGTGTCCATCCAAACCCACGGGTGGGCTAGGCTGTGGGCGGGGCGGCATAAATGAAGCGGTGTTACGACAATGGAAACAGGAAAATGATAGCAAGAAATACAAGCTATGAAATGCAGCAATTCGGCGCTTGGCTGCTCCGGATTTGGACTTTTGGGAACATAGAAACTCTGCGTGTTGTATTCTTACATGCCCGTACGATGTGCATTAGGCCGCACGAACTGTCGTGTGTATTTCTGCGTGCCCGTCGAGCCTGGAAAAGTAAAGGCGCTCTAGTGATGAAAAAGGCGTTGTGATGACGATGCATGTGTGCTGCTGATGATGCATCCAACAGGCCGTCCTGACGTGCCGACTTGCGGTGCCAGAGTAGCAGTAGATAGCAGAAGTAGCAGAAGACTCATGCTGACGAGAAAAAACGACGTGCATCTAAAGTCTGTGGATGCATCATTTGTCACTCACTTCTTGTGGATTACTCTCACCAGCAAAGATGTCGCCTCATAATAATTTGAGTACCCGCTCAAGTTATGCTTGTGGTATTGCTATTTTTCATTTTGAACATTTGCCTCGACAATCTTTATGCATGAATGCAACTTCTTGAATCATGCATCACACAAGTCAGCTTAGAATGGTCTGATCACAGGCTTACTTTCGTCCACTTTAACTTAGTTTGCTTACTTTTGATTAGCTTCCTTTTGTGCTATCTAAAGCATGGATACGGATGCAGAAAACTCGGTGGTCTGTTTGCGGAATGGTTTGGATGAGTAAAGCACATGCGATTGTACACACGGCGAAACAGCCATAACTATGTCCATCATAGCAATCAGGACAGTTACTTATTTTTGAAAAAATATATATTTGGCAGATTAAGAGCGGACAAAGTCGTCCCCCTGCACCCGCTTGCCCGGTCGTCGGGCTTGTTATATTTCGCTTCATATTAAGCCTTGAAAACCCTTCAATATCCACCCCCCCCCCCCCCCCCCGAATACCCCTGCCCACTGCCAGTCTATTTTACAACCATTATCTGCCCTGGAGTATATGTGCGTTTCAACATATAAACAAATACGTAACGTCACGGTATATGCAGGATATTCAAAACAGGACTATAATGGACGTTGTCAAAGCGGGGGGCTAACCTCAAGCACATACGGAGCAATATTTTATCATCAGCAACGCAGAAATAGGCGAACGTTTGGCAATGGATGCTCCAGGGCGGTTATTGGTGTCGCGAAAAGGGAGACGACTATTATTATCCACGTTCAGCCATAACCACGCGTCGTGCGTTTTAAATGGAGCATGATGCCCATACACGATCTAAGGACAGATGTCGCTGCCGCGGAGTTGTTTCCTCAAAGCGGCGTGAAAAGCGGACTGTCACGTAAAGAGGACTGGACTCGAGACCTCCAGAGGGAAGACTCGACTCAGCTCCGGCATGTTTGGTTAGCCCTAAGTGTAAGCCTAAGTAGCTTAAGATCTGCACGCTGCACAAAAATGAAAAATGAAATTTTACAATCCCATTCAAACCTTCATGCCCCACTTCCCAGCTAATGTGAGGCTCCCATTTCAGTCTTAAGAGGCAACTCCGTCAAAAAATGTTTCTCTTCTTTCACCCAACTTCATATGTGCGAATATTTTCTCACGCCATGCGTCCACAAGACCATTATGCATGAGCATAAATCCATCTCAGTTCGTCAAGATGTGAACATGCTTTTGTATCCATAGATATAAGTCAGTCATGTAAATGCTCTCTGGGGTGTACACCTTTGCATCTGACCGCCGATAATTATCAGATATCTCTTATATACTTGCGTTGGCGACCCGCAACGCAATTTCACACCGCTTGAAAACCCTCCCGTTTTATAGCCCCGGAACCACCTCTGCTGTGGCTTTTTGCCATGTCGAAATAATTTCATACTAATGACAACACTGTCCTATTTACTGGGAACATCGGCCACTGCCGCAAACACGAGACAATGCGTAATGCACGAGACAATGCGTGAGGGGAGGAGGCAGAATCGGCCGCCGAAATAGAGCCAATGCCTTTCGGCTCTGAGTTCTCAACTTCCGCATATATGACATAATCCTATCAAGGAAAACTTCACTTCATGAGGTAAGCATAGGGTGGTGCGCGCCGTTTCAAACTTGCAGCATTGTTACCGGCAACCTAAATTAACGTCTACTTACTTCCAAGTAATTTCTCCTCATGGTTTTGAAAACGCACATTGCAGTACGGTTATTGGCAACCTAAATCAACGTTCACTTACTTGCAAGCAACGTCTCATCATGGCTTTGAGAACACTGCAGACGACAGAGGATCCGAGGCAACGCCGTACGTCCGATTACCGCATGACGGTGGCAGCCGTGCGTCCGATTAACGCACGACGATGGCAGCCCTCCGTCCCTCGCGCCGCCGCTCCCAGCACTGCAGCCGAGGCATGCGGGCGCCGTCGTCAGGGCTTGGAAAGTGAAATCACGTGATCTCGTGACGTCAGCGGTACGCACCCGGCTGGGCCGCCGTACCCCGCAATGCTGATTGTGGGAATTATACCGTTTTGTCATTGACTAACCGATACCGACAAAGCTATGAAACAAGCACCATATGATATCGCGTTTGGTACGCCTTCCTCTATCGAAAGCTTTCCGCTGTTTTTTCTAAATCTTACCGTTCACGCAACATGGTGTCAAATCAAATCTTGTCGAACCTCATTCATGAAT